TGTGTCAGAAATATTAAAATTAATGCTAACTTTTTTACTTTTTAAAGTAAATTAATACATAATTAATATTGTACTTATAATTTCGATAATTACAAAACACATTTGAGTGATTAATTTGTCTATTTAAGTATGTAGTTAAACTTCTAAAAGATTGCAAAAGTAAGTGAAATTGGATTGCACTAAAAAGGATAAAAAATGTTGAAAAATGTGTAGAGAGCCGACTCTAGAAATATGCAGCCTGCTCTAGTAAAGCCAAGTGCAGAGAGCCGGCTCTAAAAATTGCAACCAACTTTGTGGGACAAAAATTCAAGCATGTGTTTTGGCGCGCATGAAAAACGGATGCAAAGTCGATTTTAACCTTGCAGCCGACTGTGATGATGCATTTAATGTACAACAATCGAGTTATTTGAAAATTATTTAATGTTTTTAAAGTCAAAATCCCAAAGTTAGTTTTATATTTTGTAGCATACTGTGCAAAAAAACAAAATGTGCAACAAACCTGCAAAGCTAGCTCAAGGTGTCTAAGTCAACACTACAAAGAAAACAAAATATGTAAGAAACCCGCAAAGCCGGTTGTATAATTCTAAGCCTACTGTACAGAGCGGCTCTAAACTTTAAGCCGGTTGTACTGAAAAATCTGCAATTCCAAATTATGTGACTTACAAAGCATTTAATGACCCCCAACAGCTAAAAATGGTTATTTTCGACCAAAAGACTATAAATATGGTTGATAGTAGATTTGAAATAAGTTTCAAGAGCATTGTATTGAATATCTTTACTTATCAACTTGTACTTTAACTTGAGTTTTTTTATCTTTGAGTGATCTTTGCTTGTAATCCTCTCCTTTTTCTACTTGTGTATTATCTTGAGAGTGTGATTAATCTTTCAAGAGTGATTTGTAAAGAGGATTCTTAAGATTTATTTTGTAAAGGGGTAAGATTCAAGAGAAATACCTTTCTTTTTGTAAAACGATTGAGTGGCTTCTTTAAGCCACCTTTGTTTTTCTTATTAGAAAGTGTGGAGGAAATCCTTGGTGAGTGAAGTTAAGGTAGAGAATTAAGCTCCAAGTGATTGGACTGAACCTTCATAAAATTATTGTGTAAGTTCTTCTTCACTACTCTCTTTTTAATTTTTGTTTAGTAGTTGCAAAGAGGTGAAAATTCTCCAACTTTAATTCACCCTCTCTTGGACTACATTGAGGCAACAATTAATAATAAAAATAATAATAAATGCACCTTTATCATATGTTCTAAAAAAAAAAGAAACCCTAGTACTATTAACTGGGCAAAATATATAATAATTTCTTTTTTTTTTTCCTTCATTAAATACTTTAGAGTTTGGAGAATTCATTCAGAGATATAATTAATTGTGTCCTCTATCATATGAACTTTAATAAAAGTAGAGCTGAAGAATTTC